CTATGGACAACCTGGGTCGTGGATGCGCACTGCTGAGGAGTCCCATACTAGGACGAAACGGCCGTCCAGTGCTTCCAGGTTTTCCATGGTGGTCTAGCTTCAATTGACTCATGATTTCAATCTGCGACATTTCTAAAATCTCCACAAACCCCTTCTGATAATTCCATTTTAGTGAATGAAGTTGAGACACATTATCCTTAGACTATATCATTATTCATGCTTGTACACAACTAAGGAGATGATACGTCTCTGAGATAGCAAAATAAATAAGTCTCATAATTATTCGTCAATCGATATGATATTTTCTAATAGTGTTTAACTTAAAGTATATGTAGTCGAATATTACTTACGCCTGTTACTCACAATGGAGCATAGGCTAACGACCAACATTCTCCAACCCATTCTGTCTTGGGCTTTCCTTTCCAGTTCTGTCCAATTTTTGTTTATTTTTCTCATGTCTTTCTCCATTTCTCGGCGAAATGTATTCATTAGTCATGTAGTCGAATCGATGAGGTGAAAAGAAAAGTTATGGTACAAATATCAAAATTTTTAAGAAATAATGTTAAGGGTGAAATAATGTTCGACTACTCTTGAACACTGATGAGACGTTTCTTTGCTTAGAATGAACAATGAAGGATTTTACTTTTTGTACGTTTTACGTGCTTCAAACTAAATAACCATTGAGGAACTAATCTACCATGAGTTAACGTAACTCAAATCAAGAACGCATAATTCGCCTGACTAGATGTGACAGGCGGTGTTTGGAAAATGATACTGACACATGGTGTGTTATGCACTAACCCCCCAACTCGCTACTTGAGCGACGATATAATGGTGAACTAGAAAGTATATTGGGCTGCCGAGTAAAATGCACCAATACTCATTTTTATATATACCACTCTCACCCCTAGGAAATTGATCCATTTCTTAGCCAATAAATTGCACTTGTCCTCTAGATCATTTCTGATTGCCACCAATTGACCTTCTCATTAGGCTACTTCTGATTGACTTACCATATCACGTGGATTAATCAACAATCCAGTAAATGCAAAAGATAGGAATATAAGACACATCAGGTACCTATCAGATTATCTACTACTCAGTCCTTATTTATTTGTTTGAACACGTAAGCATTGGTATAAGGGGGCACAAAATACATATGCACCACTCAATAACAATGAAATCAGTAACAGTTATCATTATTTTGTGTAAGGGCTAGGATACTGCCCGGGTGCCCAGACCAAAGCAGGTGGTTTCCTTATGTGGCCACGCCCAGAGACTGACCGAAATGTATATTCCATAAGACAGTGAAGCAACTTTACGAGATGCAGTCCTATGGTAGCTGGTGACCAACAGTAGGTTCATTTGTTCCCTCAATATCCTGGAGCCCGATGTGCACCAGTGGTCTGGAATCAGGGTTTCCCAACTCCCTAGGTGGACTCTCTTTGTCCACCAACCCGGTTAAAACGCCGGACATTTGATTTTCGTCCTCTCGACTTCGCGAACAACACTACTTCCACGAGGAGGCAGTGAGTAGGACTCCCCTGTCACTGGTTGTATATACGTGACCGTGTGAGAGCATTTCGAGAGGAAAAGCGGAATCTCCACACTCTCGGCCGTACCAGGACATTTTGGGAGCCACTACCCAATCCGAAAACATTGTCCACTTTCGCCTACGCAACAAGAACTTAAGGTTAGGTGTTTGAATTTTTGTGACCAATTAACATCAGCTATAATGGAACAATCCTAAAATCATATCCTAATTACTAACATAATAAGTCATTTGATGATTTTGCCATCTCCTGATTTGCCAAATCGGTTAACACCCCAAGATCGTTTGGCTGTATACTCTGAACTTACCTTTAAAAGTTAAAAATACTGATTCTACCATAATATTCAATAGTTTCATCCTACCTATTGTTGATGTAGTTCATTGTGTTGTTTCTTAGAACGCTAACCCATATCACCTGCTAAAGTCACTAATCAGAATTTTAATTTTGTCTATTCCAGGTCTACTACTTCTACTAAGGTCTAGTGTCTCAGAATTGCCTGATCAGCACTTCTGACCTTGATTCGACACAGCTAAACTCCTACTGGTCTGTTGCTCGTACGTTTTTCTTTATGGCCCTGCGTTGAGTTTAAAAAGTCATCAACCAGCTGTTGTTATTATATTTCAAACATATATGGGTTTATATGCAAACATACTGGACTGCATCCTCACCGTAATGCGAAAAAACAAAATCATACACAATAGTGGCTGCGAATAGTCGATTAGCAATAAAATAGGAATCATAAGCAGTGTAATCACAGTTAACAAGTTAAACAGAAGCTTATCTCGTTCCGCTTTAACACATTGATAACACTTGTCTCATTTTATTATTTAGTACCACTTTTTTAAAATAGCTCATACTATATCCCTCCCCCATATTATTTTGTAGTACTATACGGAATTAAAAAATCGTGTAATTAAAGAACTACCAGAAGAAAAACAAGAGTCTGCAACCAAACTCTTTGATAAATTAATGGAGGACGTTGAATGTAACTTGACTGTTAAGAATCGTGACACGTAAGTTTAGTGACAATATAAAAGTTTTACATTTATCTTTCCAAATGAAATACTCCTTATTAGGTAACAAAACAGTCCCATTCGTTCATTTCGTGGATAGGCTCGCCATAGCACAGTTAATTGTTTCATTTCCAATTATTTAACCACTAAATATATGGCACAGTAAATAATTTTGTTATCGTATCCTTGATACAGAGTTTACAACAATATTTCGCCCTTGCCAGTCATCTGCAACGTAAAACTTGATACGCATATACATCGGTTTAAGTTGCTACACCTAATTAGCACGGACACGTAAAATTATTAGAACAAGCATAAGTTATAACAGTGTTGGTGATAATAGAAAAGATTAGGAATCGTAGATACGATTCAAGAAAATATAAATTAGTAGAATACAGAAAATTTATGAGGAACTCAAAAGCGTAAAATCTGGAGGAAGACAAAGAGTGGATTCACCTATACTATTACAAACGATTTTGAGCCATGTTATTCATTCAATAACTGGCTACGCGGAATTCAACCAGGTAGTGTACACCTTTTTAAATGACTTAGTCCAACTCCATATGACTTCACGAACTGACGCCATATCACAGTTTAGCGACCTGTAACTTTCTTCCAACCTGCTCCTCCATTAGTCAGCATCGCGCGTCGAAGTAATCGCTTGATGGGCATTGGTATTACATGTCTTAACCGTCTCAGACATAAGGATTAATTAACTCGCTAATCGATCGAGGTTGCCACATCAAACAATGTTTCTCCTTATGTTCAAAGTTGATAATTACTAGGAATAGACAGTTATCTAAGCCTAATTGTAGCAGATGGTCACCCTTGTTTGTTGGCTGATCCGCAACACCATAAGATCTGTCTAAGTACCTTTCGTTTGCGTTTAGCTTACATACATGAGCATTAAAACCACCTGCCACTATCACTGTACCAGAGGTTTTTGAAGGATTGGATAACTCCCGATAAAATTCATTTTCAACTTTGTCTGAGCTAGTCAGTGGGAGCATAGACAAGCATAGACAACGGAAATGCGACGGTATGAGTCCACACATTTTAAAGTTTTTGCTGTCCAGTTTAGTATAGGAGCGCATGACCGACTACCTATTTTGATCAGCCTAACAATAGCTGTTATGCTTTTAAGATTAATGCCACCCCTACCCCAGTAGGATCTCCAGGTTAAATCGTACAAGTTCGTCATACTGACTAGGTGAGGTCAAATGAATGACTACTTGGGTCCTGTTTGCGCGTTCCGAAGACAGCATACATCGATGGCGCGAGATTCTCGAGTCGTAGCTAAAGAAGCCAGTTGTCTTATCTGACACAAGGTTCGAAACGTAAAAGCTCCAACACGTAGTTTAGAGCTTGGTTCCAGAAAACCAAGAATAACATTTCGTGATCTTAAATCATCAGTACTGGTAGCGCGTGGTAATAAAGATGTGAGAAGGGTTAGTCGTGTGAATGGAATAATTATTAAGAGGTGAGTGTGAAGTTTGGTCGTCAATAAGATGGTCTCGTGTCTTGTTGGGTGTATGAGGGTGGTTATCACTTCCCGGCTGCTCATACCGTGGAGAAACTTGTAAAGGTTAACCAGTGCTGATCATAGGGGCCTGCGAGCGTAACCACCAACTTAAAAGCACAATTACTTGACCTATCAACTATTCATAGTAAAGATCGATTGCCACCCCCACACCCCAAATGCTGTTTCAAAACTTTTCGTGCTATCAAAGTTCGTTTTCATCGCTTGAGAATCCCGTGGTTTATTCATTAAAACCTCCCTATCTACTAGCTAAATATACACCATCGTTTTCTGATGAGTAAGCATATTTTGGAACTTTCTGACTAATCTTCGAAGCTAATAGCTACTCTTTAGGCCTATTTGTATTACATATAAGTAACCATAATAACACTGAAAGGTCGGAGGTTTGAAATTCTTAACGATTCACTCTGGGACAAAATGTAATACAACAATAACACGGTTTCTATGATGACAAAATATGGGTTGGTCCCACCGGTTGAACTAGTTTAAAGTTTATGTGTTATCACAGATAAACTTTAAACTAGTTATCAGTGCTGAATTCATACACTTTTTATAGTAAAGATTAACAGTATATGCACGGTGTCAATCAACTCTATTAATTTTGATTTCAGGTTCACTCAAAATTTATCTACCTTCAAGCATAGTTTGGGCGACTTCCTCAAAAAAACAAGTACAAAACCTGACGATACATTTAGTCAAGCGGAAGGCAACAACTACGAAACATATGTTTGTTTAGGTAGTGCGATAGCACAAGCAGGCGAACAGTTGCTGAATGCATAGGAACTCAAGATAAACTATTTTGTACAATATTTTGTAATTATTTAAATAAAATTCTTCAACGTCAAATGCAATTATTTGAACAATTGTAGCTACTTTGGTGCGATTTTTCTGAAATTAGTCTTTGCAATAGTTCTGGAATTCATCCAAAAACTTCAAATATAACTTGTGCTCTTCTGAAGTACAGAAGTTTTGCAATTCTTGTTGAAAGTCTGCGTCTAGTCCTCGTTCTACCAGCAATTGCATTGTATGATTATACATATCCTAAGATAAAAGAAAGGAGTCATTAGGCTAGTCAAAAGATGTTGAACAGTACTACTGAGAGTCACTTACGTCATCAAATAAATCAGTATACACGAAATAGCCTGGGATGCGTTCAATTTCAACTGAATCCACGGAATAAGTAGCTGTAAAGGGAAGAAATGTATTAGACTATAGAGCGAAAGATTATTGTCGAGACGTTCACCTAGAGTATTCAAAAACCACCTCTGTTCCACGTAGACAATCTACGGATACCGTAAGTCTGTCAGTCAGTCAGTAACAACGTAGAACTTCGTACGTGCGTACATCAGTTCGAGTTGCCATACCACATTAGCACAGAGATACAGTTGTCGATTCAAATCCAGTAGTGGTAGAGGTAGTAAGAGTATAAACAGTAATCGGAAACATTAGGGTTTGGAGATGTTATTTAAAGAGTATAATCCAGTGAAATAAATTTTAAAAGAGAAAAAAAGGGTCTCAGGATATACGAGCAATGTTTCGAAGACACCTATGATCGAATACTAGTAACCTACGAATATCCTCTACTCTTACCGGCCATGCTTCACTGCCATAAATAAAGTAGGACGGAACGAACTGCTGCACAGTAAACACGTCCTTTGGTTGATGGACGGATATCTCGCCTACGCCATAAATGACGGAAGTTGGCAAAAGCTAGTCGAGCCTTCTGTATCCGTACTGAGATTTCGTCACACACTAGACCACAAGGGCTGATGAGACTTCCAAGATAAGTGAAGCGGTCGACACGCTCAACTACTTCACTCCCTATCATTAGTTCGGGTGTCGATGCAACCCAATCCTGAAGCAACATTTTGCATTTCGAGGGGGAGAACCGCATCTCGAACATGCTTGCATTGTTACTTAGAGTTGTCAGAACTCCCTGCTGGTCAGATCATACTAAAATGAGGAGTGTAACCTTGTTGTCAGTTTCTGATAGGTTCATTCACCCAGAAAGTCAGTCAGCTGTACCGGTGTGGTGTGGGTATGACGTGAACTCAGTATGACTCAGGAGGGGTCAAGTACTTTGTTCTTTCCAATATAACTAGATGTAGACTAAAATAGTGGTCCGACTACCTACAAATACTGCTAGATACGTTTAAGCTCGGTTTTCTTAACATATTTATAGATAACACAAGCTAGCTACCTTTTCTTATGAAGCTTATTACATGCCCAGGTAAACGAAGATTCACTGACTAGATTACAGAACAGAATCTCACCTTGCAACCACTGCTGTCTAAACCGCTATACTTAGAGGTTTTTATGGCATAAGCCTTGTAACTTTTCAGATTTTATACTAAAATTTACCAAACGCTGACCACACAAGAAAAAACTTACGGAGATCATTCGACTCATCTTCAGAAAGTTGTTTTTCAGCGTCATGGCCCGGAAGACTGCAGTTGAAAACCAGACTTCGACCACTAGGTTTTGTGAGTTTAATACGCAAATCAGGATGAGCCTCCAAAGCAGTATCATCCTCACTCTTTTCCGTAGTACTCATTTCATCTTCGGAAATACTAGGAGTAACACTACCAGCCAAATTAATCTCCACGTCGACGAAACTAAATCTAATATATTTAAGATAAATATTGTTTACACTCCATCTTGATATTCTTTGCGTATAACGACTTCACATCCATTGGTTTTTACTACTTTAAACCCTTCAGGGGGATCGCAGAAGAAAGCATTTGCCTTTTCTTGTTTAATCTCATTGGTCAGAAACTGGTTGAGCTGACGGTCAACTAGAGTACATTCGTATACACAACCGAATATCTTACCTTGAGATGAACAGAACCAAGTTGAAGTAGTAAGATGTCTAATAATACTTGGTTTACTTAAGATCTGGGTTCCTTTACTTGCGAGCGTTAAACGAGCACCAAACAAAACACGAGAAACAAGTCTAGACATCTCACGCCGAAGTTGGAAACTTAACTAAGACCCTTAACCCCAATTCACTAAAACACTCTCACAGGTTCCACTTTTCAACATTCAATTATTTTCAGTTTCTAGAGGAAAAAGGGCTTGAAAAGACTGCTTTTGTCCTGAATATAGAGTTCTCTCTGTTGATTCAAGTTCCTTTTAAGTGTGTTTGCAGATGGATCTTCAATCACTTCAATAAAAAGGATAGGACATGAGGTCTGTCCACTTATATTAATCCTTGCAGTTTTCAACACTGGGTGTCCAATCTCGTTTTGAATATATCAACAGAAGGTGCTAATATTACGCATTTTGATAGCGAATTCCAGTAATTGACTACTTGGTGCGAGAAATGAAACTGCAGATGTAGACGATTTGATCTTGTTTTTTTAACTTGCTTCTCAAATGATGAGTCCTAGACGGAAGGAAAAGATAAGACATATTAGTGCCAAAGTCATCGTTCAGTATAGTATTCTGCGGTAAGATAACGGAAATAAGTTGAGGTGTCTCAGTCTGTCTACATAAGATAGGCAGATAGACCTTTTATCATCTTAGTACCTTGTCATTGGACTCTTTCCAGCATATCTGTTTCATACTCGAAACAAGAACTCGCTGCTTGAATCCCATATTCCGATTCTAATTGCACGTAAATCGGGTACAATAATTTAAACATTTCGTCATCTAAATACTGGTAAGACCTGCAAATACACCCTAACACCCTATAGACTTTTGTAGCAGCAGCAGCCTTACAGTGACTAGTGGTTTTGAGATCACTGCTTAATATTACTCCTAAATCTTTATAGTTTCTTACTTTGGGTAACACGAATCCACATGTTGTGTAGTGATACGAATCATCATGATTATTTAATTGCATCACTACATTATCATTAGGATTTTCTTCTAGTGACCATCTGTCCAACCATGCCACCAATGAGCTAGGATCATCCCGTTATACTATTCTACTTGACTTACTGTGCATAGGTCTCCGAAACTTTGTCATCGGCGAGAATTATAGCGGATGACTTTGCTACAGTTGATAATTTATCTAGATAAAGTAAAAAGAGAAGAGGACCGAGGGTTGTACTTTGGAGAACTCCACATTTTCCAAGCTCCATTAACCTTTACCCTTTGTATCCTGTCATGGATAAAGTGACTTATCCAATCTACGATTGCACAATGGATTCCAAAACGCTCTAGTTTGACTTTAAGACCAGAATAGGAGACCTTGCGGAGATAGGTCTGACAAGCTTATTTTGTAAATAGTTTTTAATATTATTTGTATTTATTTTGTTAATCTTTCACTGTCTGCATATTTATCATTAAATGATTGTACCTGTTGTTTTAGTAAACGACCTTGAACACTTTTTCCGTTGTAAACCTAACATAGCGTGACATACTGTTGCTGGCTAACAAATACACTACTGCTCACACATTCCTCGTTCTATCTTCGTTTGTGATTGAGTTGACTGAAGTCTAAACCAAATTTCGTCTACATTTATAGACAGTAATCGGAATATATCACATCCTACGTTGGATTATATCACTAGAGAGTTCATCGACAGGTTTGGAATTACCAAGCAATTAGAATTGTGGATTTATTGTACCAGACTTAAGCTGAACACGCATCATTTTGGGTGAACTCAAGTAAAGTTTAATTTTTATTGTATTTGTAATAATTAACTTATATATATTAACATTTCTATTGATCTTTATTAACTTTGTTGATACGTTTTGCATCTATATATAGTCTTGTCCACCACAATTATTTGGTGAGCCTCGTGTTTATCCTAACTGTTATATTGTTTACCATTTCACACGATATACTGGTTTATTTTTCTCGTGATGTCCTCTCCCACTAAACTAATTGATAAGGATTCACCTCCGATAACAACTTTTGTCACATAGTCTAACTATACTGAGAATAATTTAAGTTCAATTAATACTATCTCAGAATTCAGACTCCCAACTTATGGAGCTAATAACCCAAGGGTCTGGTTTGCACAAATCGGAGCTTTGTTCATGGCTAGAGGCATAAGATCTCAGGTAACAAAGTATGCATGTGTAGTAGGCGCACTTCCTATTGAGATTGCCGCTGAAGTCGGGGATTTAATCGATCACGTGACAGAATCTGAACCATATGATAAGATAAAGGCAGCTGTAATTCAACGTACATCCGTCTCAGATGAGAAAAGACTTCAACAATCGCTAACGTCTTGTGACTTGGGAGATAAAAGACCCTCTCAACTTCTCCGTCACATGAAACAACTCGCCGGTCCATACAAGCTAGACGAAGCCCTCCTAAAGCAAATGTGGTTTCAAAGATTACCACACAGCGTTAGACGAATTCTTAGTGTCTCAGGGAGATCTGTCGCCCTTGATGACTAAGCCGACATGGCGGATAAAATGATGGAAGTATACCACGACAACCACTGTGTAAACTCTTTACAACCCGTTGAACCAGCAAATATCAGTCGTTTAGCCTCCTTTCAAAAGCAGTTAACGCAATTAACGAGCCAGCTGGCATCACTGCAATCGACCATTGCAACCATCCAAGCTAGACAATCGAGATCCCCCTCCAAACGAAGATTTTTTCAGACAACGGTCTCGGTCACCGAAGCGAACATCTGAAGTTTGTTGGTACCACCAAAAATACGGCACGGAAGCACGGCTTTGCACACGACCGTACACATTTTCTGCAACAGACAGAGAATCAGGGAAACGGCCCGGCCAGACAGTGATGGCGGCGCCTGTTTATGGCCATTACCCGAGCCGACTATTTCATACCAGGGATCGAATTTCGGGCTCAGATTTTTCGGTCAATACAGAAGCCGAAATCAGCATTATCCCATTACACTACTCTCAACGACGGCATTCTCAGAGTATCAAATTGTCTCTAGTCGCAGCCAATAACACAGTCAATAAAACTTATGGCGAACAATCACTTATCTTAGATCTCGGTCTCCGCAGACGTTTCACATGGGTTTTCATCGTACCTGAAATCAAACAACCCATTCTCGAGGCCGACTTCCTCGGTGCTTACAACCTACTTGTAGATATGGGGAAAAAGAAACTAATTGACAAAAGCACAAGCTTACAGGTCAGCGGCACAACTACCTCCAGTTACGAAATTCATGGGGTCCGAATGTTAAGACCTGAAAACAAAATTTTCACTGATATCCTGTCGAAGTATGAAAGTATAACCAGAGCTGATTACCAAAGCGAACACTCCACACATCATGTTCAACACAGTATTACTACTACAGGACCACCCATTCGCGCCAGGGCGAGAAGACTCCCTCCAAACAAGTTGCAGTTCGCTAAGACAGAATTCGAACACATGATGCAACTTGTGATAATCAGACAATCTAATAGCCCCTGGACCTCGCCGCTGTATATGGTTCCGAAGAAAGATCAAGACTGGCGCCCATGTGGAGATTATCGCCGATTAAATAACCAGACTATCCCAGACAGGTATCCGATCCCTCATCTGCATGATTTTTCTTTAAATCTACATGGAAAACAGATCTTTTCAAAGCTAGATCTAGTCCGAGCATATCATCAAATACCGATGGCACCTGAGGATATCGAGAAAACAGCCGTACTCACGCCTTTTGGCTTGTTTGATTTCTTGAGGATGCCTTTCGGACTAAAAAACGCCGCTCAAACCTTTCAGAGATTTATGGACGAAGTAACTAGAGGTTTGGATTTTGTATTTGTCTATATCGACGATGTTTTAATCTCTAGTCCTTCCACTGAAGAACATGTTCAGCACTTACACACGCTTTTCAAACGTTTCAAAAGTTATGGTGTTGTAATCAACCCTTCGAAGTGTATATTTGGCGCATTTGAAAAAGCTAAATCTATGATTGCTAATGCTACCATGCCCCAACACCTAAATACTGACCGCACAACACTGTTGATCCTATGCAAGGATGCTTCACAAAAAGCCGTCGGCCAGTATTACAACAGCGGGTAAACAACACGATAACCCCCATCACCTTTTTCTCCAAGAGATTATCGCCAGCACAAGAACGTTACAGTACTTTTGGACGCGAACTCTTAGCTATGTATTTAGCAGTAAAAGATTTCAACTTTGCTACAGGGTCGTGATTTCATCATTATGACAGATCACAAACCACTTTGCCATTCTTTTAGCACATCGTATCACAAACACTTCCCACTAGAAGCAAAACAACTTGATTATATCTCCCAATTTACCACAGACATCAGGTTTATCAAAGGTCACACGAACATTGTCGCCGATACTCTATCTAGGAGGGATATCAATACGATGGTAATCAATCATGACATCAGCCTTGGCTAAATTACAAGCAGACGATGCAGAATTGAAAGTCTAGCTTAGACCTCAAACCTGTACCAATTCCTCTTTCAGATACATTCATCATGTGCGACACTTCAACAGGCAACAATCGTCCGTTTGTCCCACACGCTTGCCGACGAAAAATATTTCAGCACTTGCACGGTCTTTCACATCCAGGCATCAGAGCAACAACAAAGCTCATTACCGAACGTTTTGTGTGGCCTAAATCAACTCGGATGTTAAACGTTGGACACGTAGCTGCCTCCAGTGCCAACGCAGTAAGACGCAGAAACACACCTTTAGTCCAATTGGGAAGTTCCCTATCCCTGACAAACGCTTCCAGCACGTGCATTTAGATTTAGTTGGGCCTCTGCCACCATCAAAATCCTTCACACATATCCTCACAGCAATAGATAGGTTCAAATGATGGGCCATAGCATGCCCTATTAAAGACACTTCGGCCGAAACAGTAGCATCGGTTTTCCTCGACCGCTGGATATCCAACTATGGCGTACCGTCAACAATCACAACAGATCGCGGTCCCGAATTCCAATCCGTACTATTTCACGAGTTCACTAAACTTTTATGGAGTAAATCATGTCAAAACAACAGCTTATCATCCGGCAGCTAATGGCATGGTCTAAAGATTCCATCGCCAACTAAAAATCTC